TATCCACCTCTGTGTTCAAATGATTTCCAACGCCATTTCATTCCTCTAAACACGCTTCATTCAACTTAAAATTAGCGCCAATGGGTTGGAAATGCCACGGTTTCTTGGCTGACAAACGACATCTCGTTAGCCGATGTCTGCCTAGTAGCCACAGAGTCCATGCAACCGCATCATAAGTGCACACGTGAACTGTTGCCTTGACCCACCCCGCTTGTTTTACTGCTCCGGTTTGTCCGTTGAGCGGCACTTTCGAATTGGCCAATCAGTTGAGTGCGTGTCGTCTGTCATTAAGGCTCAGTAAACAGGTATGTTTGGCATGAATGTTTGTCGAAATTGGAACAACTAGAGCTAATTCTACGACTAGATAAAGGCAAATTTTTCACACCAATAATAAATAATGTGATCGGCTACTGTAGTGAGGCTGAGTACTCTCAAGCGTGAACTGAAAAATCTTGGCGCCAACCAATCAGAAGCCGTTCTGTCATGGATTTATTGATTTATTTATGATGGACCATGAAAATATGGACCCATCTCAGCAAATGCTGGAATCAAATGTATATTTTATGGCTTTTGTGAAATTTAGAATCTAAAGGCAAAAGTCAGATTAGTGTCGGTAATTTACATTTATCCGTGAGGTTTAGTCCACGCAACGTGTGTGCGTTGGCATACCCTCAACAGTAGCTTTATCGAAAATCGATAGCCCCACCCGGCGGAGCTTTGCGCGTTGGAGTAAATGACATGCCCATCTATATGAAAAATGTATATTTAAAAACGCCAAATTAAGCTGATTTACTCTAGAGTGTTGTAGGAACGTGATTTCAGGCAGAAACGCAGTCATGCAACCTAATTTGAGAAAATGCCTAATCAAATCCAGCGCAGACTACGTAATGGCCGAACGAGTGCCCCTGCTACCCCCCCTACCGGCTTCTCACCACCCACCTGGCAGTGCATGGGGCGAAAAACAATGCTGCTCCGTCCCTCCCCTCCCCCGTATCCGGCTAAATTATTCACCACTTCTGATAATTCACTCTCTCAAACACACGTCTCGTGCAGCCTGTACAATCTTTTGTTCTGCAGTCGGCAAGTTGTGTGCGAGTGTCCACGCGTAAAATCCAAATTCGCAAGTATAACAACGCGAGAAAACAGTTTTTTACATGGGCGCAACTCGTAACTAGCCCTCGCATCATACGTGTTGAGCTTAATGCAACAACAGAAAGGTGAGGGGATCTATCTAACCCGCAAAAGTACCCACAACGCATGACAAATTTCCAGTGGCTAGAGGCTTAGCACAACCTTACAACCCTCTAGTTAACAGCCAGTAACAACGCGAGAAGAAGGGGGTAAAGAGAGGCGACAGAGAACACGACCGTTCATGAGCAACAAACCAGCCAAGTGTGTGGATGAGTGAATGGTTGACAGGCGTCTGATAACAGTAACCAATGAAAAGGGGATGAGTCATTGTCGCCGTCATGTCGGTAACCAGGGTTCACTCAGGCGTGATCGCTGTCAATCCGCTACAAAGGCACTTGACGACATTCAACAAAATATCGATCAGTCGAGATGCAAACCCACGGACACCGCATGGCACACATCAACGTTTGCACATTACATTGCCTTTGATAACGTGAATTTGTGCTTTAGATTAAATTTTACTAAACGAAGGACAGTCGTTTGCGTCTGGTGGAACTGTTAGAGCCACATCCACAAAGCGCGAGATCAGACGGATCTGCCGTTTACACAGGACTATTCAATAGAAGTGACCTTAAAAGCCGATGACAAGTGAATCTGCAATACAACAACGCCTGGCTTACCACTGGCTGACCCGTTTTTGATGATTCCTTTCTAAAGTCTAACCGTCACACTGTTGGATAACCACCACAAGTGCGACAGAACATTCGACACATTGATGGAACTGTGGAAGAAATTTGGAAACAGTTGCGAAATCTACATGATTGGTCAATCTCTCCGTTTTTGTTTAAAATTTATTGGCACGATAATCAGATTTGTGCCTTAATCCAATAAAATTGGTCGGTAGTAATGCTACTTCCACACGGTATGACAAAAACACTCAAACCAAAAGAATTACTCGAATACACACACCACCCTTTCTCCGCTTTAAGGTACTTGAAATTTTTTTACAATAAGCTATTAATTTTGTGAAATTCCGCCCGCAAATTTATCCGCGTAGGCGATGGTCGACTTTGCCGTAAGTATGGTTATTAACACCGCGTAATTAGACACTTCAGCCGTTCTTCACCCTAAACCCAGAAAAGAGAACCGATGAATCAATCACAACTGCAAAGAAATCTTTCAATTCGCACTTAAACACATAGTAAGGAGGGATGTGCCGCGGTCTTCGCAAAACAATTTAAAAGGATTGAAGTACCGTGATGAGTTGTTTTTTTTTCCAAAAAAAACATTAAACATTAACCGATTAGAAAGTCGGTGGACATGAACTCGAAAACATTTGTCAACCACTGCAGTAAATGTGCGTGGCGCCGGTGTGTCCATTAGACCGGACACGAGAAATTTTCGGGGGCGTGAAAATCAAAGTGTGAAAGTACATTGCATTTTACTGGGTTTGAAATAAGCCTTCGGACGCGCTCTTTGTTCCTTGGGCTTAGGGGGCAGGCGAGGAAGATGTTTTGAGGAGAACATGCTCGTGTTTAGCGATCGATCGCCACGCATAAAATCACGCACTGAATGCTTGCGTCTGGCGATCGATAATTTAATGACTCACGAGTGCTTTTCATTGGGCGCGAGCAATAAATTTAAATATTTACTTTTACTGTTCCAATTTCATGGAAAACGGCTTCGAAATGTTGCTTGACGACGTGCGAACAGTTAGGACACAATCGTGAAGAGCGTAACACCGAATTTGGTTAGCGAGAGGTGATGTTAGGGGCAGCAATAAAGTGCGATTGACGTCCACTCAATGAAATGAATATTGCGAGTCACGAGGCTGCTGCGAGTGCCTTAATGTTACCTAAATATCAGTAACTACGAGATTATTTTAGTCGAGGCATTTAGTACGCAGGGCTTTTGTTCCATACGAGGAAATTATAGACACATAGAAGCAACTCAGTGAATGAAACCTCCATTTTGTAACTATTTTGTGAAATCCTATTTTTACGAAAGTGGGAATGATTTGTTTAAAAAATCAACGTACTACATTTCGATGTAGTAAAACAAGTAGATGTGCGTTTATTTAAAATGTTATAGTCGTGTCGCCTGCAAGCCCGGTGTTTACTCCCCTCGTTTCGCGTGACACAATATCAATCAGTAATCGTAACGTGATAAAAAATATCACCTGTTTAATACCATCACTGCTGATTAGGCTGAAATTCGAGTAATGTGATTTCGGATTAGTTCGGTTAGCTTTGTCCAATCAGTGCTCGGATCGATAGACGACGTTTTTAACAATACATCATTTGGGGCCTTTTTATGAACCTATTCACAACTGAGTTGTGAAAGTTAATTAAAAACGGTGGGTTTTGAGACCTTGATGACGGCAATTAAGAAAGAAATCGATTATTATGATAAGGTATCGCTTTCGAAAAGGGACCACGGTAGGTAAAGACATTAAGGACATTGAACGGAGACGACTATGGCAGTAGTTTGAGCAGCTGAGACAAGCTAGTGATTTCCATAATGAAAAATAACCACGTCCCACGAAAACACATTGGTGGAGTCGGACATCGAGGAATATGGCGTTGATTGAGCCCAAAATGGAACCCAGGAGTTGTGGTGACTTGTGATTTTCGATTCGACAGACTACAAACGATTAATTTTATCCGCCGAGAGCAGCACGCCTATCACCGTTACTACTGGCTAGCTTGTTCAACACTGGAACAACAGGAAGGCCCTTGAGGTTGTACAGATTACGAACGAAACCTCGGTAGCACTTTTCGATCTGCAATGTCAAATTAACCCGTAGCTTCGCTTTGTAATACATATTCCCCTAAAGTAGGTCGATATTTGATGAAGATGTTGTCATAGGAATATATATTCGCCGGAGATTTGGCTTCGTCCGGAGGTAATTTGGGTCAGAGATGAAACCTGGTTAAGCTAGGTGGGATTTGAGCAATGGAGATAGATTGATACAAGCGAGTGTGGAGAGAGAAAGCCAGGTTGAGCAAAGAGACAGGATCGGGACGTAGAGTTGGACGTGGTTGACGAGGGACGATCGCACGCCGGGATCTGTAAGAGAGCGGAAAGTTTTGAGAGCTGGCTATTCCATCAGGGCGCAAGACAGAATCTCCACGCCACACCAATCGAACCGGGAGATAGGCAATTACCAGCTCGTAGAAGGTTTACATGCTTTTTTAAGTCTCAACCCACGCCGGAATCGCAGCAGTGGAGATGAAGAAGACCCGGGAGACAGCTCAATGAAATTGTGCTACTGCTACCTGGTACAGTGTAAGTGAACTAGTTAAAATACGAACGTCTGATTGGTCAGATGGGAAAGTCGATAGTGGTGGTGCACGCACAGGAGTGATTGAAAAGGGGGACGTGTGTTTGACACTGCGACGACAGGGTTAATGGAAGTGAATCAATACGATTGGAGCGCTAGCGAGGAACGCGGTAACTTTGCTGGTTTTCACATTATTTGCGCTAAATCAATAATATCGATTCCTTGAAGCTAGATCAGCCAATGTTTAAACAAAACCATTGTTTGCAGCGCCTAAAACTGTGATTTTGTGGAGAAATTAGAAGGTTTTGAAGCAGGAATTTTATCACCAACAGAACTTATTCATCGCCAGCATTTAATTGCAAAATTACAAGCCTTTAATTTATCCTTTGATGAGAGAATTTACCTCGATGCGGCAACAAGCTGATTGAGTGTGACTATTAAATCACTTTATTTTAGAAATTCGTCAACATAATTGTCATAAATTTATAGAATTTGTCGAATATCGTCAGAATAGGCCATCAACCCCCGATTTTTCCCGTTTTGAAAAACACTTTTCACGAAATGCAAAAGAAATATGAAGAATGCAGTAGAGTGATTAGAAGACTTAACGAATTTAACGGTTATCCAACCGTCAGCGACACGCTGGCTAATCGGATTAACATCAACCTTGCCTTTTCCGTGAGTTGAGTACTGGGATTCATTCTTGGGGTTTGGCGCCTAACGGCTTTCCTCGTTGTAAATCCACCTTCCCATTAGCCATTCTAAGCAATCACCAATCAAATTGTAGGTGAGAGGTGATTGCCAAATATTGTGCGACGTGTCGCGAATGCACAGGAAAGCATCAGGGATATGTGCACACACACACACACAAAAACAATGCTTGAAATTGCACTCGAGACCAACTTGTCCACTTTTGAGGCCATGTTGAAGTATTTACTTAACTTGGCGGAAAATTAAATTACCTAAGGTCTGCCTCTTCTGGGTACACAGGACATTATCCCACTTTATCTCGACAGCTCTTATTCGATCGATAACGGCCCGCCCATCTGGAGGATAACCAGGGTAACGAAATCACCTCGGTGGTTATAGGAAGAAACATGTACAAAAATATCGATATCATTAGCATACGATCATATTTGTACAAAATGCGTGCGTAAGCGTTTACTTTCGTAGAACTAGACAACCGATGCAAACACTGGCGAGTATGCAACATACTAAACCGACGCCAACGAAAAGCAGAATTATGTGGACGTTGCTGAGCGGGCCGCGTGACGCGGTGGCCTTGTCCTCGATTTGGACAATGCGTCGGGCACTAGGTCGATGGCTGGGTGGAACCAGCGGACGCGAGTGTTCGTGTCGCCCCGTCTGGTCGCCAGTGGGGTCCACGATGAGCTTGGCGTCGGAGTGGAGTTGGCGTCGGGAACCCCTGTCTGTGGCGCGGAGGTGGGCGACGCTGCGAGACGCACCCCTCACCACCTCCTCTGCCACCCACACTCGACCGTCGTCAAAAATGGTGACTTGGTGGGGTTGTAGACGCGGTTCGTCGGGATCTTCCTGCCGACCCTTCACCACCGTCAGGACCGTGGTTCCGTTCTCACCCTGGTCTGGATCGAAAACGCTGATCTGGGTCCAGAATCCTGGCTTGGGATCGTTGGTTGAACGATACCACGGCATGTTCTCCAACAGCGCTTTACTGTTGGCATCGAAAAACACGGGACTGTTGTCGTTGACGTCTTCCAGGTAAACTTTGACTTCATACGTGGCGGAGAGTCGAAACGGGCTCCCAAAGTCGCACAGGTAGATGAAGAGCAGGATTCCAGCAATTTCTTCCCTGTCTAGTAGGGGGTAGTCCTTTGCCCTCACCGAAACCTCACCAGATTCCGACGACAGACGAAGTTCAGGAATCCGCGTATTTTCGGAGACGTTGCCGAAAGTGCTTGCGCCTCTCAGTTCAACGCTAACCGATCCGTTGAGACCAGCGTCGGGATCGATAGGGTTGATTTTGAGAAGGGGTACCCAAAGTGGTAGGGTGTTGCTTTCAGCAAAACTATCGAATTCTGGCACGGTGTAGACTAGTTTCGACAGGGCCGGTGCACAGTCATTGATGTCCCCAACAGATATGAGTAGATTAAGGTAAATTTTGCTCGGTGGTTTGTCGCTATCCGACGCCGAGAATCGACACTTCAATTCTGGCGTGTGCTCGCGATCAATACCGAAGGGAATCGAGAGAGTGCCTAGCTTGGGATGAATGTGGACTTGGTCGCAATTCACAGAGGTGCGGTCCCTTGCAAAGCGTACCTCCCCAACACCGTTTAGGGGTACAAGGGTGTAGAACCCGAGAATCGGACTGGAAGACTCGTCAACGTGGACTCGAACTTGCTCCTCCGGGAATCGGAACTGCTGTCCCGGTGGACGCGCCAGCCTAAGACGAAGCCGCATTTGGCTGCTGGCGCACACAACACGAACATCTCTGCCCTCAAAGAGACTATTCATTTGGTTAAATTTTTCCGTAAAGTTATACGACTGCCTCACTTTGAGGGTAAACGTGGGCTTGCCCATTAGTAGACCGGTTTCTTCAATGAAGAAATGCGAAATGTTGGGCTGTAGAGAACACGAGATCTTCGAAGCGCCACCGTCGGTCCACAGCAGCGCAACGAAGGTACCCTTTTCGGCTGATATTGGAATCACCAGAGGCGCCTCAGGACCGGTGACTGCTTCTCCGCCGAGGGGCTTCACAGAAATCTTCAGAGGGCCTGCTTCTGCCTCCTGCCCGGTTACTTCAACCACCACTCTGATTGTGGCATGACGCGGCGGCGATCCAGCGTCGCTTGCCGTCACGAACACGTTCATTCTATCGCCGGAGTAGTGAAGCAGACTGCGAGTTAGTGTTAGCTTACCATCAGCCACCTGGAAGAAGGAGGAGTTTGTCGTGTAGGCGACTGTTCCATCCTGCCCACCGTCCTCGTCCTCAGCGTGAAACCTGGTGATAATCACACCAACCTGACTGTCTCGTGGGACGGTCAACTGGGTTGTTGGTTGAATAAACCGTGGCTGATGCTCGTTCTCGTTCCTGATTTTGACGTACAGAGGTAAAACCGCCTTGGTGTAGCCTGAGTCCTCTGCAAAGAGGACCAGGTTATGCTGTTGGCAGTGCTCAAAGTCCACGGGCTTTTCAAGGACCAGACGAAGATCACAGAAGAGTACTTCTGACCGACAGGTGATGGAAAACCTCTGTCGGCAGGATGCGGGAGTGGATTCATCAACCAACCCGTAGCGCAGTATGGAATGCTCCGGTTCGTCCATGTCGATGGCCTGTGGCAGCCGGAACGTCGAGCCGACTGTTGTGAGTTCGCTCAGCGTGAGGTTCCACGCGTCCTCTTCGAAGAACGGGCGATTGTCGTTCAGGTCTTGCACTACAATGTGGACGTTTATCCACGTCTCGAGGAGGTCATCGCCAGCGCGAACCACCACACTGAGTTCAACCTGGCATTTCTGTGGTGAAGCGTGGCTGGGTACGACGACATTCGCGTACTTCACCTCCGCACCCGCCTCACGCTCGATTGATCGGCGCGGTGAACGCGGTCTCGGTGGTTGGATCACACGACTGCAGAGTGACTCTCGATCCAGGTGCTGTGTCGTCCGCAAATCCCCCGTGGTCTCATTCAGCAAAAAAATGTCCTTTTTACCAAACATCAGCTGGATAAACAGTGGCGCCTTATCGTCCAAATTAATGCTGGCATCACGAACGGGATTTCCAATGTAAGTGCCCGGGTCACATTCCTCCTGAACGATGTAATGCACAGACTTGGTTGATGTGGCGTCTGATTTAAACAAACGGAGCGCCAAAATTGCAATCACCAGGTGGGAAAGCGCCATTGTCACGAGCTCGATTGCAGCCTTGAATTTAAATAGCCCGCCGAGTGTCCTGCTCGAGCTGTGATTGGCTGTGACTCACGTGGCTACGTACGCTCACCTAATGCCCAATGAAGTGGGACGCGCGTCAATTTGGCGGGAGCACGAGAGGACGGCAGGTGTCAGGAAAACGTGAGACGGTCTAATTCGCCATTGTTTATAGCTTGTGTGCGTTATTTTGCACCCTCGTCTGTGCACGCCGCAGTCACGTTGCTAAGGTGATTTTATCTAAGCATGCGTAGACCCCAAAGCAACAAGGGTTGACCACGCAGCCCACCTTCGCAAACATTACGGCTCAGCGAGTTGCAGTTACTGTGTTTGCTTTGTTTTACCGAACTAGTGTGACCCCACAATTTTACCGCGACCTTGAAAAGCAACAGGCTAGCTCCTTGGGCACTTCGTATTGGTCAAAAATGTGCAAATAGGCGCGAAAAGGCAGCGTTCACAGTTAAAGAGCCAAGTGAAAGGCAAATGAAGACTGAAAGGACATGATGGCTGTTGGTTTATACAAGGCGTCGATGCTTCAGCTTGTCTTGACTTTGGTTGTGCTGTGGACATCAACGCTGGCTGCACAGGCCTTGGGGAACCATCCCTTGACTGGAGCTAAAATGGTAAATAAACTCTACTATCATATAATCAGTAGTGGTTGTGCGATTTGCGAAATTTGTGGCGGGGTAAAGCAGTAGTTTCTTTCCCCAATCAAAACGCCTTCAGAACTTGCCTTTTGATGAGTGGTTTTGCGATGATGAAGCTGATGACACGAGCTGGCCATAATACCATCGCCTAGAAACGAAAAGAACCAGTAATGCGTGCAGATTGAGGGAGGAAAAGGGGATCCGCGATGGTGGCTTACTTGTGCGACCGAGTGACAAGGACAGTATCGCCGACAGCCACGGCCATTCTACTCTCGCCGCTACAGGGCGGATAAAATAAGGTGCGGCAGCCAAAGCTTAGGGGCAAGGTGCTCCCGCCGTAGGCCCGATCGATCTTGAAGTAGACCGCCGACTTGTTCTTCAGCTCCTTCTGGCGTATCTGCTCAATCTGCACAGGGGTGGAGAAGGTAAGGGTTAACAGCAACGAAAACGAGAGGAATGGGTCAGCACGGTTTTAATTAAAGGTGTTCCTAGGCTACACAAACTCGTGCCTCAATCGGCAGTGCGTTTTCCGTTGCCAGTAACCACTTCCTCCCAACTACCAACACACTTTTCGATGCCTGTGAAATACAAAACCGACGTCTGACGACGTTGTGTGATTTCAGGCCATCCCGCATAGTCGTTAGGATGGATGAAACCGAGTCTGGAGAATTTGGAAGAAGTGACATGGACGCTTGCACTGACTGTGCCTTCATTTCACAACTCTACTACGACTAATGACTTAACAATGGCGTAGGCTCGGCATGTTAACAGGCTAAAGGTGGAATTACACTAAGAAGTAAGCACATGAGGCAGACGTAGGTGAAAAGAGTGACGACTGACACACCAAAATAGGTCAAGTTGACTTACTGTAAGATCGTACTTTCGACACCCAGGCTTTAGCGGCCAAGAATATCCATCACCTATGGGATTTCCACTCCAGCTTAGAACCTATGTGGGTAAATAAACGGCTATAAGTCAAATTACGTCGTTTGGGGCTTGTAATCTTTCTATAGAATAGAAGAGGAATTGATCCTCATTAATCAGAACACCTAACATGACACTGCAAAAGCATAGATGGTAGAGTTTGCGTACTTTAAGAGGCGTAACGACACAAACAACAACAAAGGGTGGGAGAAAGGAGAGATGTTTTGTAAAAAAACGTTTTACCAACCTGGAGTACATTTTTCTTCCAACCAAGATCATAAGGGTACACAATTGGCGCAGTCGTCAAATCGGATTCTCTTCGGTCATTTGCCTGAAAAAGTGATAAATACGACATTAACATGATTCGTAAACTAGCATTGGGGAGCAAGAGAAACGTCAGCGTACCTTGACCATAATCCAATCCTCAATAACGGTTTTATTGCGCAAGATGCCTCGAATCTGGCAGTAGGCGAGTCCACCGACGGCTAAAACCACACCAAAAGCGAGGCCCAATGCGACTAATAGCGTGACCACTTCGTAGAAACTGAACAAGAATCGGTAGTCATACCCATACTTGTACAATACGAACGACTGTGTAAAGAAAATTCACGGAGGTAAGATTAAGCTAACGACGCATAGAGAGCAAAGCAAAATCTCATCTTAAGGAAGCACCAGGTTCGTGTTAAATTGGCAAAAGTGGTTACGTTTGAGCTGGGAAAACAGATTGTACAACATACCCGTGTGAGAACATAGTACAGGCGATATGAACAGAGAATGCAGCAATACAAGCAGCCAAGAGGAGCCGAAAGAACGAAGTGGAGAAAGTGGCCGTGATTTAAGTGCCCCACGCAACTGTTAATCCAAGGGCAATGGTGGTCCATTTTGAGGACACATCGTCCACAGGTTTTACAATGATGAGACCGAGGAGGTTTAAACCCCTCACATAGAGCACAGAATTGGAGAAATGCTTGGTCTTCGGTATGAGTCTTCAAAAGGCAAAAATAAAGTCTTAGAAGGTGACTTATTATCTTTAAATAAACGCTAAGTAAAACTTACCGGTTTCCATCCCAGCTTCACAAAGCCTGGACCGTACCAGGCAGATAGAGCGTAGCTCCGCATTATAAAAAACGACAGGAAAAAGTAAGTGAATAAAATGACGATTCCAAAAAGTCCTTTAGAAGGCAAAATAGTTGACACGAGTACAGAAAGGCCAACGATTGTTAGGAATATCACTAGGCCCATTCCGCAAATAGGCCCGAAATGGAGAAGACGTTTGACTTTTTGAGTCACCGATTTACATACGGAATCATTAAGGAGGAAATTATGCGACGTCATTCACCTTTCAGTCTATAAGTACAAAAAACGCGGTTGTCATTAGACGCGCAAATACACTAACCAATCAGACTTTAGTCTTGACAATAGTCCAATAATCAAATAAGTACCATCAAACCGAGTCCAGTTAAATCATCTTTGGTACGAGTTCTCGGAATGGACTTACTTAATATCTGTCATAGGTTAATATTAGGTAGTAATGTCAGGTTTAGGTAACCTATGTGATGTAATTAACAGAAAGTATGTTTTCAACTTAAAATATTCGAAAATTAACGCCGTGCACGAATAATGGAATTTGCCTCGTGAGATTTCGTTATTGGTTGGATATATCGTACCTAATGCACAAACAAATGGTGAGTGTACGTATTATTTTGTTCATTGTATCGGAAGGGCTTCTTTTAAATCGTACAGTCAATAATATTAATCCTAATGTTCCTGAATAATTTCTACCGTGTGTACTGCATGCTAATTAAAAATTGCGCAAACTACGATATGTTAATAAAGAGCTATAAAAAAGGGGTAGTAAAATAAGTAGTGGCTAAATAGTAATCGATGAATTAGCATAGATGATTTTGATTTCTGCGTAACCAAGTGAGGACCAGTTGGAGACGCGAATAACCAGTTGATTAAATATAAGTTGTAGTGTAGCTACATATTGGGCCACATCGGCTTTAACCCAATCCTCTATCTTTTTGTGTTCTGAAAGGCCGCGAAGAAGTTATGCAGCCAATCGGAGACAGGCACGTACAAAAGAGGTATATAATGCGAGGCTCAGCCAGAGTGCCGGACTCGGACTGACGGCGGTTAACGCCTGTTTCGGGGCTGCGATTGGTCAATGAAGCCTCTTCTGTTAAACAAGTCTTCTTCATAAAAAAGCTCTGGTATCCTATGTTGGTGGCAGCGGATGCGTTTGAATGACGCAAATTGAACCCAAGCTCTATATCTCCTATGGACAACAGAGGCGAGGACATTTGAATGCCAGCTGCCGTTGTCATGGTGGTCCATCCGATTTTCCAAGCTCTGGATCAAAAACGTTGCCTGGGATTAGGACTACTGCAGCTGAAGTGGCATCGGGAAATCAGCGGTGCGGGCAAGGACAATAGAAACCAGTTGGAATGCACGAGGAGTAGGAACCGACAGTATGAAGCGGCCTTCCTGTCAGCCATCAAGACCAAAGTCCTTCGTCTACTATTCGTTTGGGCCACTAGTCTGCCAGACGTGTGGTATTATAGTGTCGAACTGGATATTTTGTCAATTATAAACAGTTGGGGAAACAAGCCAGAAGCTAAGGACAGCTTCCCTTCTGAAGGGGAGGAATTGTAGCGACGAAAGAGGAAGCAGACATATTGGACAACGCCAGGCTCAGCCAATCTTTTGTCTCTTTGCGCCCCAATGTCATGCGATGCATAAATGCGGCGAACAGGAGACAGACACGTATGAGAAATGGTGTAAACAAAGCGGCGCAGCCAGCATGGTGGACTTAGATGGACGGCGTCTGACTTGTGGTCATGGCTTGTGATTAGCCAATAAAGCCTGTTCTGTCGATCTAGTCTTCTTTATACAAGGACTCGGGTATTCTCGAATCAAACCTCAGCTCCTTTCCTGCAATGTAGAATAGAGACAAAGACTCCTAAATACCAGTTGAAATTGTCATGGCTGTTTTCTACAGATAATGAGAATGCTTCCGAATGACTGACAGTGCAACGGCTAAATTTATCCAGCCATTCCAATAATGTTAAATGAGTTAATTTACAAGAAGGGAAATGATACAATAATACGCTCAAAATCTTTCATGGAAGTGACAAATGGGAACATTAATTGATAAAAAGGTGACGAAACTTGCAATTTCAGTTAGGAGAATCGCATCCTGTTTACTTCTCTCAAATGGCCCACTCAAAATATTTTTTTAAGAATTGAACGTAATTTGTGCACTAACATTGCAATATCAAAAATTAAATACGTTGTAGAATATATTGTTTGTAGTGGTTTAAATTTGCGTCTTAGCTGCCACTAAAAGTTTATGTTATTTAGAAAATGACTTAATAAGGAAGGTAGGAACGATTTGTTTTAAATTTATATTTCGTTAAAGGTCATGGCCTTTTCAATGGTGGTACAATTGGGCTCGTAGTTAAAGCCCAAAAAACTTATGAGTACAAATAAATGCAATGAATCAAATAAGAGGTGCTGATTCACATTTACCAACTCTGCCACCGCCATCTCCGACAGATCACGATTTTTTTAACAGCGTCCCCGCTTTCCCGTATGTCCTCAATTATGTTTTCAGCAATATGTCCATTAAGTGATTGTGTCCTTAGCAGTACACATAAACCGTAATCGTCAAACCTGACTGAAAAAAATATACTACATAAAGGCAATGGAATCTGGTTTAGACATTTTGTACATGTCACAGTTCTTCTCATATATTACCTGTAATCTAAATCGACAAATCTAAAATGCACAAATGGTTAAGAAAATTCAAATTTTAAAGGTTGTTGCTTTTATGTAACAAAATAACTGATATTACTTTTTGGATCACTGATTGTAAAAAAAAATTTAAAAACAGTTTACCGCGGTGTTCTTAAACGCTTTGACTCTGCTCGATTCTTCAATCTGATTGGTCCAACTTAGTGTGTATATTGGATGCTTTTCCTCAGTAAGAATATTAGCGAACATTAATTAACATGTGGATTTATTGCTACCTAGAATAATATGCCTGTTATTTGGGATAGTTTTAATCGTATACCGTTTGCTCACTTGTTTGTTCCTTCTTTGCATTCCCCAGGACTCATAAAATGTCACCAGTACAGTCAATCTAACAGTCCAAATCAGTCAGTTAATATTGACTTTGATCGTTAATGAGACATGGCATTACCTAACATAAACAGTGTTTATTGACACATGGAAAAATTTCAGTACATTCCACACCCATTCCGCTGGAATGTTAACGATAACTGAAAAACCAGTTAACGGTAATCGTCTGAGTGTAACTGTATTTAGTTTTGAACAGACTGTATCAGTATGAGATGGCTTAATTTTGTTTATTGCGTAGCCGATTGGATGTAACATGTGTATGAATTTTAGATTTGCCTTAATTTTTAATTTTGTGGATGATCTTGTTTGCTTAGTAGAGTAAAATTTTTAATCATTCCTGTTGGAACAATTTTGTAGTACCTGAAGAAATTAGTGCCTGTTTAGTTCCCATTTCATACCTCACTAATTAAGATCTGTTAGTGCTTCCCTATCAATTATGTAGCCCTAGTTCTAAGTTGGTTAAAATTTAATGCTAACTAAACATAAGCACTTAGCCGAGTCTGTGTCTTTATGCAGTAAATATATTCGCCGAAAATGGTCGTATCAATTCAGAGCAAATCAATCGTTTTAAAGTGGGCTAGGTCTGTGTTTTTATTTCAAACAGATATAAAGGCAATTATGGACCCGTATGGGATCTTCTGACGACACGTTCGAAACAACCGCATGCAATTCTAGCGTCCACGTATTCATTTTCCATCTTAGATGCTACCAGACCCACAAGACCGCTTGGAGCGTAAGAAACGCCTTCTTGAGTTCTACGGACCAAAGTCCAATTCTGAAGTGGATGATGCTGCAACTTCCTCTGATCCGCGGAACATCGATTCCTCAGACTTCGACACTAAAGCGTACTTATCCGATCTCCTTCGAAAATGCGATCTCAACGACTTGATGTCGAAGGATTCCGAAATTGGAGACCAGATCCGTTCGCTTGACTCCGAGATGCAGACTCTTGTGTATGATAACTACAACAAATTCCTCAGTGCCACGGACACAATCAAAATGGTACACCGCCATCGTTATCTCTTCATTCACACCCCCCGCCTTTAGATGAAGTCTGATTTCAAATTTATTGAAGAAGAAATGAACATCCTCGCCGAGAGCATGGTTGAAATAAGCCGCTTCACGAGTGAAATCGACCAAGAACTTTGGGACACTAGGACGGCCATTAAAAAACTCACAGCCACTGCAGAAAATCTCCAAAAAGTGTGTTTTTAGACTCGTTTGCCTGTAACTTCATTATCTTACCTAGCTTAGCTACCTGTCGTCTCTACCGGGCAAAATTCGAGATTACATGAGCAAGGAGGAGTGGGCAAGGGCCGTCGAGGCGTACTGCAGAGCGAGGGGCTTTTTCGAGAAGCACCGCAACGTTCCGTCGTTTCAGGGCATCGACAAGGAGTGCGCCGAGTTGATTTGCGTCGTCGCCAGCAAGCTTGAGGCCCGTCTGCTATCAGCGGTTCGTGCATTCTCGTATTAGAGACTGGCAGATTTGTGTTAATTCATCGGCAGATTGATGTGCTAGTTGTCGTGACACGTGTGAACACAACCCTTAGTTTAAGTTCGTCCTCGCGCCCACTTTGAAGATTTATTGGCGGAAAATCTCGTCTAACTTGTTTTTTCGCCGATGTCCAAATCACACTAACCACTTCAAGTCCTCTGAAATGATTACCCTCTTTCATTGGTTTTCTTACGGTCCATTTTTTTACTAATGAACCCAATTTAATCGATTTCTGATTAATTCGTGAAATCCGAACACTGCCTCGCATTCGCTAGAAACGACCGTTTCACAGTCACCAGAAATCAATAATCGATGGGTTATCTACTACCTTATTAGTGGAGCAGACGTGAAAACCGTTTCTTGACTCACTTAATTGTTCCTGAAAGCAGATTTGACCTTGGGAAATCAGGAAAGCTACCAATCGTGTGATTTTATCATCAGTACTGTTGACTTGTTGCAAACACACAACAGGGAGGGGTTGATTTTGTGTTTCTTTTTTTACAGGAGGATCCATCGGCCTTGACCTCCTCCATCGAACTGTTGAAGAAGCTTGGACGAACCAATTCGACGCTGTCGAAAATGTTCCTGCAAGTGTAAGTCTTCCATGTCTTCTGACTCCGTCTTCTCTAGGACATCTCAACGCGTCGACCTACTGCTTGAAAAACTGACCCAGTCCCTGGCGGTGAGCAAGGCTAACGACGACGACGACGAGGAGGCCACCGTTGCTGCGGTGAGTGAGGCCATGACGAAAAGTTTTACTTGCAGTTAGTAACCCCAAGCGGTTTCATCCATAATCAAACAAACGTTAATTCAATGCCTACTGTTTCTGCAATAAGTAGTCCGTTATTTTACGTTTGTTTTTTACATATCGATTTTCCTGTTAAGACCAAGTCAGCCTCAGCAAGGCGCAGTAATACACCAATTCGTGTTATCTTCTAGATTTAAGGGTCATTTTTTTTTAAATTTCTTCGTTTGAGGGGGGGTTCAAGTGTCAGAGCAGCGATGTACGACAGCCCGAAAACACGAATTTGCACTTTTTGCGTGGAAATTATGACTGAAGTCACGGATACTGTTTGAGTTTGTAAATGCCACGTTAGCCTCACTGTGTTTTTGAGGTTCTTTACTGTCTCCTGTTTAGGACGTGCTGCAATTTGCAAACACAGCAACTGACACAGTTCTCGACGGGCTGCTTTCCTACGTCTTCGCGTATTCCAGTCGATTTCTCAGCTCAGCGGGCTTGTCAGAGGGGTAAGTGCGACGTGCGCGTGCATCCGTCGAATGCCTAACCACTAGCCAACTTTCTTTTTTGCCCGCAGCGATGGCTCCTCCGATGCTGGTGAAGGTGATGATGATGATGATGGCAGCGACCTTGAGGGTCCACTCTTCGAGTGCATCAAAAGCGCCACCTACAAGTTCTTCTCCCTCATCGACGCGAAGATGCGCGAAGAGGTGAGCGTTGCTAGCCCCATAATGTCCTTGAGCTAACCAATCACAAGCGCCACAGGTGGGTGGGTCCCTTCGTGATTGGCTGTCTGATGTGGAGGTGTTGTCATTTTTGCCGCAGGTTCAATCCTCGGACACTGGACTGGTGGTTCGTGCGCTGGAACGCCTCTACTCCCGTCTGATGGGCTTCAGCTGCAGCGTGCTGGAGGTGGTGGCGCCAAACGATCCCTCGCCCGCGGCAAACGACTTCCGACGTTGCCTTGACGACGCGTGTCTGGAGTTGCTGCTTAGGACGGCTTGTCGATGCTGCGAGAAGCACTTCGCTCTTCTCAAACTGCAGGCAGCCGACTGTCTGACGGACATTCGACAGCAACTCGTCACCAGCCCTTGCACGGCGTCTGGAACGAGGTGAAGCATCTTCGTTTTTTTCGCGCGCCTAGCTCCCTCCGCCGACGCTAGCATTTTACAAATTCTGTTTATTATTTTTAGTGAAGTCGATGGTGAAACGCCGACGCTAACAGAGATTTACGACGAGATGAGTCGTGTCCTAGCAACCAACCTCCGCGACTGTCTCAAGCTGCTCGAGGTACGTGCATGCCGTCTAATTTTGCTCCTCCTCCCTTAGGCCTTTCTAAGCAGCGACAACACATTCGCGCACATTCAGTCTTTCCGCGCCAACTTCTGTCTGGAATACGTCAGAGAAGGCATTGTTACGGCCTACCTGCGTTTTCTGATCCAATTTTGCGACGACCTCTCGAAGGTTAGAGAAACGAACTACTGTTAATGAAATAAGTAGTGCATTTATTTCATTTTTGGTTTTATATTTAGTGCACTCCATCGAGCATTCCAGGCACCCTCATCCTACTTCTGGGGAAATTGTGCCTTGATTGGGCCAACTCGGGCACTGTGGGGCATCTCCTAAGCACAGCTGACGACTTTATTCTCATTGGTGTGCCGAAATGTAAGTTGCATGCATCTGGTGGAGAGATGTGGGTTGTTGACCGGGTACTTTTCTTCCTCCAGCTTCGACTACCGTGCTGTCTCGCCAGCAGGCGATTCAACAGATGCTCGCCACGAGACAGCAGCCGCTCACCGCGCCGGGACCCCTGGCCGAGGAGTTCCGGACAACAGCGACACACCTGCTGACGACCTACGTGAAGTTCGAGGGTGCCCAGATTGCTCACATGATGCGCAAATCCGTCGAGGCGCGCGATTGGCTGCGTTGTCTGGAGCCGCGGACTGTCCGGTCGGTGGTACGACGCATCCTCGAGGATCTGACCGTCATCGATCTCCAGGTAACCACACCACTCGCCTATTGGCCCAATTTGCTCGCGCCAAATTCAAAACGGTGTGCTTGTCTGCAGATCAGCCAATTGCTGCCCCCGTCAAGCGCTGGTAGATCGCGTGGGAAAGATGTGCGCGGCTCGGGCGACACCTATTACTCGTGGCGCTTCTCAACACCCCAGCGCCCCGGGCAGTCGATGGTGGAGCGGGAGGGTGCCGCGTCGCGCCCCCCTCTCGCGTCTTCGCAACACCGCCTATCTCTGTCGTCGTCATCGTCTGCCGCTGCTGCTGCTGCCGCGTGGCAAGACAACGACCCCGCACTCGCCAGCCAACTGCGACGCCTCTTCTTCCAGCACGTGGACATGTTTGCACCCGTCAAACCCACCCGCGAATCCATCCTCTTCGGTGTGATCAAAATTGGACTCAAGGTGGGTTGCCATGGCGACGTTTGAGCTGTTCGGAGGCGAAATTAACTTGCCCTGTTTTTAATTGGACCTCAGGCTTTTGGCGAGTGCGCGAGGATCCGGGTGTTCGGCAAGTTTGGCCTCCAGCAAATCCAGGTCGACTGCCACTACCTGCACATCCACCTGTGGAAATTCGTCAACGACGACAAGTACGTAGGGCCCCCGTATCGCGTTGTTGTGGGGTTTTTGGCTTTTCAAGCGTTGTGATTGGCTAATGCAGGACGCCGGCTCAGCCAATACGAGGGCGTTGTTAACAGAGTTCATTCTTCCTTTCAGACAGGTTCAGGTGGTGCTCGACGACGTGATGTATAGTGTCATGCAACGCTGTGTTGAGCCCCAATTGATGGAGAATAGCGTGAGTTCCACCTCTGTGTGTCCTGCAACTTGGCTCCTGCCAGTTCCTCATTCCGTGTTGTCTCCATCGTTTTCAGATTGTTGACGCGATCTGCGACACCTCGCGCACCGGAAGCAATCTGTCGAAGTGACCGAGGCCTCAGCCGAATGTTGCGTTGTCATTGTGATATTATTTACTTGACTTGTAACATTATTCATATCTCCATTCCCTCCTCCTACTTTCGAAGTAATAAATTCGTCGGTGACGAAGTCTGTTGTTTTGTGTGAAGTGTTTCGTAAGATCGAAAACCACGGCTGCAAATGATGACGTGTTTTTCTCCACCTCCTGATTCGACTGCAAAGCGGTTTTTTGTAGTCCGGAGTGAAGAGACTAGAAATAGCCACTCTACGAAATCACCGATTGGTAAACTTGTGCCAGCTCGCAGAAAAGTACATGGATGGTCTTTATTTCATTCAAACTAGCTTCACAGGATCTGACGATGCGCAAGTGTTTAATTGTTTGATTGAAAGGCGATTTGTTCTTTGTAACTGACCGGTCAGAGGCATCGCCTGCGACCTTGTCCCTAACCAATCAGATTTATTTAGTGTCTTCAAATCCAAAGATGAGATCACCTTAATGTATAATGCGTGTTTCAGGCTCGTTACCTCAAAAAGACATCTTTTTGGATTATAGAGAGGGTGGCGCCTGCGTTGAATGCTGCAGTGGAAGTGTGAACACGGCCTAAGGCCTTACTCAGCGCTGCACCAAGAACGCTTCGCACACCGTTTCAACCTTGACTACTTCGATGTTGACTACTCGATTAAATTCGACGATGCTAACCGTGGTCTGACAACGGATATTTGCCTGGACGACGTCGAGTCGCGCTAGTACGTCGGGTGTCCTTCTTCGTCAATCTGACACGATTGCATCGATGTCTAATGCATTTTTGTAGTCTCCTAGCGGCGAACGCTGATGGCAGCCTCTTGATCTTCGACACGCAAGACCCTAGTGAATCTGGCGATGGCTCTGTCGTCTTCCCTGTGGTCGCCCGCATGACCACCGTTCACCCCTCGGTTCTCCCGGCTAGACTTCAAGCCACTGGCGGTCTGAGTCCCTCCAGGTGCCTTCAGTGGAATCCAGTCGACACTGGAAGCTTCATCTCTGTCTCGTTCGACAAGACCCTCAAGATTTGGGACACTAATCGGTGTGAGGTTGGTAAATTGCTATTTGTGGAGACTGTGGTTTGGCGATGCCTTCTGTGGGTGGATTCGATGAGAAAGAAGCTGGTAGGCACACAATTGCAAGGTCTGACCAATAAAGTGTAGAAGGGAGCGACATCAGCCAATCAGCTTGCAGGAACAGGTTCACGCCACCAATCGGCGCTCACTTGAAACGCGAGTTGTTGTGTGTTCGTAATTGTGCCGAAGCCATCGCGACGTCAAAGTGTGGCATTAGACTTTGATAACGTAGGTCTTTGACATTCATAGAACTCGATAGGGAAGGAGATAGTTGGGAGGACACAATTGCCAGATTTAACCAATAAAATGCAAGAGTGAGTAGCGTCAACCAATCGGCTTGAGACAAACCTCTTCACTGCAGAAACACGTTCACGCCACCAATCGGCGCTCACTTGAAACGCGTTGTTGTGTTTGTTCTAGTGTGTCGAAGCCATAGAGACGCCTGAGGCGATGCTCTGGGCGAGCGTGTCTCCGTGCGCCGTGGAGCACAACCTCATCGCAGTCGCCCTCCACCAATGCCAGGAACGTCAGGCCGTTCTCATCGACCCCCTTCTCGGCGCGGTGTCGCTGAGTCTCCGCGGCGGCCACTCGCAGCCCGTCATGACGCAAGTGGCTTGGTCGGCCAGGAACTCCTTCACCATCATCACCGCAGGGCGAGTTCAAGTTGACAAATTGCGGTCATGTTTTACTGGTCACATTGGAATACTCGCGCTATCCATTCCTTTTGCTGTGTTGGTGCCATTCACCAGTCCTTGTCTTTGATTGGCTACTTGTCATCCTCGTGGACTATTAAAACGAATGTAGGAAGGGGATTGGCTAAGCTCCTTGCATGCTCGGATAGGTCTGCCACCGGTCGTATGTCATATATCGGTATGTAATTTTCCTAAACATAGTCAGAAGACGTTACAGAAATTTATTTGTACAGAACACGGATCTGCAACGTCAAAGTTTGCAGAGACTTCTGGATCGTGAGTCATGGTATCCTTAAATATGGCGTTCTTGGTTGTTCGTTTCACTGATTGGCTCCTGTGTTGCTACTGGGAATAGGTCAAACTAAGTAGCTGATTGGTTACTCGGACTTTGGCGCGTTATTCGAAACTGTAAGTCAGAACACCGTTCACAAGATGATGCCACCGTGGTTTGGCGGTGAGTAATGCTCGTTTTCGACCAATGACTTAGATGATCCCACCTCGTCACCTAGGCTTTTTTACAAGCCAACAAGACAATGCTAATCCACTCTGTTTGGTCGCTTTAGGGAGGATGGCAGGATTCTCTTTTGGGATATTCGTGTTCCGTTGAAACCAATTGCTTCGCTGAACAACGCCTACACCGACGGTTCGCCGGCCTACTCCCCCAGTGGTAGGTTTCGCCCAATCTCTAGCCTTAATTCAGTCCCAACGACATTGGCAAATCATTCAGTTTATTCTCGGTGTGTAAGATGTACCTTCACTTAGTTCAAATTTCGACAAGCATTTATGCCCAACATACCTGTTTACTGAGCCTTAATGACAGACGACACGCACTCGACTGATTGGCCAATTCGAAAGGGGCGCTTAATTTTGCGTTTGTAAATATAAATTTTTCATATTGATTGGCTACTGTTAACGGCCTGCCACAAGACATACACGTAGCGTGGACTAAACCTCACGGATAAATGTAAATTACCGACACTAATCTGACTTTGGCATTTAGTTTCTGAATTTCACAAAAATCCATAAAATATACATTTGGTGGAACTAGCATTTGCTTTAACGGGTCCATATTTTCATGGTCCATCATAAATAAATCAATAAATCCACGACGGAACGGCTTCGGGTCTGTTGTCACCAAGATTTTCCAGTTCACGCTTGAGAGTACTCAGCCTCACTACAGTAGCCAATCACATGATTTATGACTGGTGTGAAGAATTAGCCTTCATCTAGTCGTAGAATTAGCTCTAGTTGTTCCAATTTCGACAAGCATTCATGCACAACGTACCTGTTCACTGAGCCTTAATGACAGACGACACGCACTCAACTGATTGGCCAATTCGAAAGTGCCGCTCAACGGACAAACCGGAGCAG